GACTACAGAAATCGGTTGAAACATCGCGGAAGTATCGAAACGGGGAAAACGTGCAGTGGAGACCTGAGGGGTGTTGGTGCTGAAATCCATGAAACCGTAAGGCATGGCATTGTCCTACGTTCAAAATAAGTATTGCAGGCTACACCGGTGAACGGAACACGCACTTCAACCCACGCAAAAGCCATTTTGTCCGCGACTTCCTTGGCCTTTTCGACGAGGATCGGGAATTTTTGGCCGCTGAGTTCGTACGAGGACAAGAGGCCGCCGACGTAACGAATAGTGGTTTCGAAAAGGGACACGGTATCTCCCGTTTGAGATTTGCTGAAGTCGATTTGGCTCGAAAAATTGACAGCCTCTTCGAAGATATCCTAGAAAAGACGTTGATGATGGTGATAAACAATTGCACGTCGGAGATTACCTCCAGTCCCATGACGACCTGCATCCTCCGGTGAGCGAAAACGACATACAAATGCTCGAAGTGCGCACCATGGTGGGCTAATAGCGGAAACATTTTCAACAAGTATTCCAATGATTAACCACCAACACGTACCATAGCATCCACAATCGACGCTCCCCAACCATCTATGGGCGGAATCAACGGGTTGAAAGTATCTCCGGTGCTTGGGACCTACTGCGGCCATCCGAGAAGCCTTGGCTTACGGGCGACAAGTCGTCATGACCGAAAGCAAACTGCCTGCCGCAACGTCAGGCTTCAGCTTACCAGCGCGTCCGATTCAGAAACTCACTTGTAGGCATTGTAACTTGTGGTGAACAATGTTTGCGCATCGTCACGACGAGAAGCATACTCGGCAGGTACGACCAGACCAGGCAACTGAACCGTGACCCCGGCCAAGGAGGTCGAGGAAAAACCCAGGAGGAGAACGACGCAAGAGAGCATTGCTTGCGCGAAAGGGAAGCTGGTACCATGGTCGTTCGCCGGTCCTTTTATATGCGGGACAGGTACTTCCTGCCGCCCATGCGCAGAACTTGATCTCGCTGTGTGGCAACCGCATACCACGCGAGATTGTCGCCATCCAAGTCGGATGGATCAACAAAAAAGATCACGTTGAGGCGCCGCACATGCGCGCCGCCAAGAGTTTGTCGCTTGGGCAATGCGGAGATTGCGGGGTAGAACGATCCCGGCAAAGAGTTGACAAGAGCCGAGAGCTGCTGAACCAACTTGAACCAGCTTGAATCTCTTGGACATGGAGGCGTACGCGTTTGGACGCGTTGGAAAAATCACTTGGCACCAGCTCGGATGCAGCGCACAGACCATTTTTCCGACCGAAGCATAATGTGGGGCTAATCAGTCCTAGGGCCCAGGGGCCAGGGTGCAATGCTCTTGTCGGTGTTAGAGTATCGTGTCTGAGTACGGAATGAGGTTGGGAGGAAGACTAGAGGAAGAGCCTCTGGGGAAAGCGGATTCCCGAATTTGGCAATGGCAGTGTGATTCGGCATCTTCCGAACGGTCTTTTCTTCAAACCGCGCACTGGATGAAGACAGCACCCAGCGAGAGCGCGTCCCTTGCTTCCGCTCGTGCGCGCATCGCAGACATCCGGGCCCAACTCCTGCAGCTACAGGAGACCTTTGAGATTCTTCAAGAGGAACAGGCCTCATTACAGGACGAACTCGATGACTACACCTATCCAGTTTTGACTTTGCCCAACGAAATCATATCGGAGATATTCGTCCACTTCCTTCCGGTGTACCCAGCACGTCCGCGTAAAACCGGTCTGCTATCTCCTATCCTCCTGTGCCAGATTTGCCGGGCTTGGAGGGAAATAGCGCTGTCAACCCCAGCGCTCTGGCGCGCAGTTGGCGTGTCCATCTCGAATTTTGTGGGACCGGAGAAATCCAATAGAGAATTGCGATGGCTGGAAACCTCGCTGACGCGCTCGGGGTCCTGCCCGCTCTCCATCAAGCTTGTACCCGGGCTCATCGACACGCAAGCTCTGGCCCCATTCATCAAGGCCATTGCACCGCACTGTGCCCGTTGGGAGCATCTGAAACTCTGGCCGGGGTCCAGATCAGAACTATATGCTATCGAGGGTCCATTGTCCTCACTCCGCAGCTTGACAATCGGGGGCTTGGGCCAGTCGGATGATTTGGCTCTCCTCCATACTGCGCCTCTCCTGCGCAAGGTTGCGGTCCAATTTTATGATGACTGGTACCTTGCCATCGTACCCTGGTCACAATTGACCGTCCTTACCGTTCACGGGATCAAGGCGGCCCAATGCGGACCCATTTTGCATCTCAGTCCTCGGCTCATTCATTGCAGGCTTGTGCTCCATGAAGCAGAGGAACAGCTGCCAATGAGGTGCACACATTCACTACGTTCTATCTTTCCTTGACCGACATCATCTTGACAGTGCTGGCTCGATAACGCTACCGCTCCTCGAAACACTCGTCCTGGCAGTCGACCGCTGGGACGGGCATGGAGTACCCGGAATTTTCGGTTTCTTGACGCTCTCGGCGCTTCGCAAGCTGCAGATTTCAACGGAATTCCTCTCGCGAGGACCAGTCCCTAGCCTTCGAGGTCTGATATCACGATCAAGCTGTCGCCTGCAACGAGTGCACTTCATTGATTCCGATGGACGCGGCGACGTCTGCAAACCGTGTCGAAAGGAATGGCCCACAGTGCGATTCACCTGTGGCGCTCAACTGGAACCCAGGACATTTTTCTTTCGAAAGAAGGATTATGTCTTATCACGGTACAGAGACGTGGATTATGATAGCGACGAAGAAGAGGCTGTCTGGAAGGAACCCAAGATCTGGGATGATTCCGATTCTGACTCTTCAGAGTCGTAGAGTGGGAGTGGAATGCACATTATAAGGCGGATCCGGATGACGGACAATTGGCAATGTGTGAACGAGCGGTCGCTGGGTAACTTACAAGACTTTGTATCTTCGCGATATTCGGAACTCGAGTCTGTGCATGGATACTCTCCGCCAGTCCACCGCACTTTGAATTGGGACAGTGAGGGACAGGAAATAAATGATCGGACTTGTTGGTACATGACTTTAAATGTGGGTTGGCCAACCAATCGCTCTCAGAAATTCGCCCAAACAGAGTTACTCATGCGAAAGACATTAGACTCAGAATTTCAGAATAATTTTGAGCATCGTGCGTCATATGCAGATGTAGGTTACGTAGATGTAGGGTCCCGCTGGTCAGAAAGGGCCGCACAATTTTTTCGCGTTGTGCCCAAATATCAACGTTCCGCGTGAGCACGGTGGATGTATGACTCGATGTTGGGGCTTTCCGATGTTGGCTGCGTTCACGAAGCAAGTGTGGTCAAAAGTTAAACGTTAAGGCCAGGAAAACAACGGAGAACCTTCTCTTCGCCCATGGGCAAGTGCCCTCGCCATCAGAATATCCTTTACTCTTCAGAGTTTGAGTCGTCCCCGCTCGATGACTCTGAATGTCCCCAGACTGAGGGTTCTTTCCAGACGGTCTCTTCTTCGTCGCTATCTATCTCCTCCAGATCAAGACTGTTGACAGAACCATAATCCCGACTCGGAACGCCATAATTCCGAGAGAACATCGGTTTGCGATCCTGATGGGGACCACAGCTGAATCGGACTGTCCGCCATGTCTTTCGACACGGCTCGCATGCGTCAAAGGTCCCAGTTGGGCCAGTGATGTGCACTCGCTGCAGGGGACAAACTGATCGTGACATCAATGCCCGGAGGCTAGCGACGGGTCCTGGCTGAAGGAGGCTCGCCGAAACCTGAAGCCTTCGAAGCGCCGGTAGCGTTAAGGAATCGAAGAGCCCGTCCGCTTCACCATGCGCATAGCGGACATGCAGGACGAGCATTTCCAAGTGCAGGAGAGTAATCGGCGGTTGCGGAGTGCTATGACAGGGTCAGCTGCTGGTAAGTCGAGATTGTGCATATGCTCGTACTGCGTCTGTTCCGTTGATTCGCCAACTATGAGCCTGCATTGAACAAGGCGGGGCGTAAGATTCAGAATGAGCCCACATTCATGAGGCTGAATGATATGGATGATAAGCACAGTCAATTGTGACCAGGGTATCATTGAAGTGTAATGGTCCAAGTATAATGAGAGGGTAAGCTTGCGCAGGAGGGGTGCCTTGTGGAAAACGATGACCGGTGCGTGGCCCATCTGAGTCGAGAATCCAATGGTCAAGCTACGGAGCAGAGGCAGCGGCCCCTCAATAGAGCGAAGATAGGCCAGAGGCCCGAAGAGTTTCATATGTTCCCAACGCGCAGAGTGCAACACGATAGCCTCAATGAACGGGGGCAGTACTCGATGGCCGAATATTGCTGATTCGATTTTGATGGACAGCGGGCAAGAACGCGAGCGCGTCAGCCAGGTTTCCAGCGCGCGCAATTCTGCCTCGAGTTTGGTAGAAGTCATGTCCTTCGGAGGGAACACGCCGACTGCGCGCCAGAGCGCTGGCGTGGACAGCGCTATTTCCCTCCACGCCCGACAGATCTGGCACAAGAGGACCGGAGAGAGCAGACCAGTTTTCCGGGGGCGTTCTGGGTAGACCGGAAGGAAGTGGACGAAGATTTCCGAAACGATTTCGTTGGGCAAAGTCAAGACTGGATAGATGTAGTCATCGAGTTCGTCCTGTAATGAAGCCTGCTCGTCTTGAAGACGCTCAAATGTCTCCTCTAGCTGCAGCAGCTGGGCTCGGATGTCTGCGATGCGTGCACGAGCGGAAGCAAGATACGCGCTCTGGCTGGCTGTCGTATTCATGTGTGCAACCTGTGTCATATAGCTTGCGATGCTATCATGTGAGAAAATGCGGGTTGAGAATATTACCACTTGCGGACCTTTGTGCAGAACTTTCTGTGGCTGTAAGAGCAAAGCAGGAGTGAAAGTGCTCCGGAGAAGTCCGATCAAAGTTTCGTATAGTTTGTGTTAGTCTTTTGTCCGCATGACTCACTGGAGAAAAAAAAACTGGTTCGCGAGGGACTCAGGGAGCGTGCGACACGCCGACGAAGGAGAAAAAGTATACGAAGCATTTTCATGCATCAGCCGGGAGTCGAACCCGGAGCTAGGCCATATCACGTGATTGGTGGGAAGACCCAATGTTACCGCTACACCACTGATGCGTTGTAGAGGACCTGGATGGCGCTTAGATGATGCGGGAAATGGCCTTGAGGGAAGGAAGTAAACGGACTTTGATTTCTTCAAATCGTTTGCGTGGATGAAGTGCGCGAGAGTGGGCGGGCGGAAGATGGGAGGAAACCTGACGAGCGCAGGTGAATGCGGCTGCGCAGTACATAACTGAGCAGACAAGAGAGAGCGGCTAGAGCCTACTCACGACTCGCTCGTTTGCGAAAATATAGTGTACATCCTATCCGAGTGGTATACGTGCCAAAAGATACAAAGCGATTATAAGACAGATAGCATATGCAGAGCAAGAGGGAAAACCTAAGAACTGGGGGACTACGCCACCGCGACCTGCGTCCGCGCGCGGCTCCTGCTCCTACTCCGACTCCGAGACCGGCTGCGCTGCCACCAATGCGTGCGTTCCGGCGTGAGAGAAGTGCTCGCATTCGGGTCGGTGGTGAGGAAGCTCGGGGGATCCGAGGTGACGAAGCTCGGCGCACTCGAGCTCGTCGTCAGCGACGCACTGTCTGCGGACATGTAGGGCTCCCCGTCCGCTACGAGGCGTGTGAACGGACTGACGAGCCGCGCGTCGCGCACGGGGGCGGGGTTGAAGAGCGCGTCGATGAGGGACTCGGTGGTGCGCGGCCCGGAGGCGCGGGGGAGGGCGCGGATGTCGAAAGTGGGCGTTGGGCTCGGCGACACGGGCGTTTCGACCGGCGCGTACAAGTCGAGCGCGCGCGGGCGGGTGCGGTACAGGTCTGCGTGCGTCGACAGTAGGGTCGAGACGCCCGCGAGAATCTCGCCGTTTGGCAGGGCAGGTGCCATGAACGGCGTGGGCGAACCTGTGGGCTCGACGCGAACGGACAGACGCAGCGTGGCGTTGGTCTTGCTGTCGCGTAAAAGATAGCGGCGAGTGACGGTCCCCTTGCTCGCGGCTGACATGGGGACGCTATCGGCGTACTCTGCCAGATCGAGCTCGACTATCCCGAGTCGCGGGTTACGCGGCGCATCGGGATCACCTGCGATGACCCTCTGCATGACCTTTAGTTTGAAGGGGTGCGGGAGGAGTCGGTGGGTGTCGCGGTCAATGGACATTTGCACCACCGCCGACAGTGGCTGGTCCCACGTGACGGCGTGGTCTCGGAGAGGCAGCCAGGGGGTTTGGCCGCGCGTCGACACGACGTCCTGGCCTTCATCCGCATTAAAGACGCCAGAAGCCGACGTAGATTGGCTGTTGGACGGCACATCCAGTGCAGGCACCTCGTTGCTGCCAAAGCTGTCCTCGTCGCCGTCGTGCTCAGGGGCCTTATCTTTCCCCTTCCCCTTGACCTTGTGTGTGTTCTTGAACTTCCACTGGACGCCAAATTCGCCGTGCACGAGGGGCACGCTGGCCAGCTGATGGATAAGGATGCGTACTTGGAAGAGAGCATGGCGGGGGAGGAGATGGTGCAGCTGCGCTCTCAGACCAGTGGGATGGGGGCCGTCCTCCAGATTTTGGTCGGACATGGAGGCATACGGGAAGGAAAGGAAGATGGAGAAAGGAGCAAGGGGCGAAATTTTAAGCCCATTGACGTGGTGGCTGACAGCAGGAGGTAGTTCCCGGTTTGGAAGTTGAAACACACGCTTCCGACGTGCATCGTCCTCTGTTACAAGACACTCATCTCTGACTCTCATCTGACGGCTTGCAAGATGTCGGCGCCGTCTATTGCACCACAACGCTCGTGTCCCCTCATCTGCCACGTCACAGAAGAAAGACAAAAAAAAGTTCTCAGCCCCGCCTTTGATCATTTCACTCGGAGAGCCTCCGTCCCTTCTTCGTCTCCGAGATTTTCGAACGGCGAGAGGGACTTTTGAGTCTTGGAGCGCCATCTGGATCCATGGTCAGCACTCTGGCAGGGTTGTACGACGCAAGGGGAATCTAGCTCCAGCGCCAGCAGAATCGAGTTCAGCCCTCGATTGACTCCTGATCTCCTCGTAACACTGGAGCCTGATACCGCCGCCCTCGCGATTTTTTTTTGTGGTGCCACTCAGCGGCTATCAGGTTATTGCAAGGCCCGACGCGTGTCTACGTCGGTCTCCGTCACCCTGATGATTCGGGACAATTGTAAGCAGATTCCCGTGTTGATACTCCGTTGATTGTGCCGGATGTCCTAACTCTCGGACTTGATGAGGTTCTGACTCTCGCCGCCCCAATCTCATAGGATGTGATCCGTCGACGACTCACCGCTGATCGCCCGCTGGCAAACCACTGACTGCTATTCCCCTGCTGGCAGTTGCCTACTCAGCGTATGTGGGATATATTCATGGTCAGGTTTAACCACCACTCACGCTCCCTTTTTTTCATCTAGAACGATTCTCCGACCATGGACCGCTTATATATGGGTTCTGCGCCTAGCGAAAAAGCTGCGCGCGGAGCTGATCGTGCCTGCGTTGCAAACATGGATGCCCAGATTATCGAGTCGGAGTCCACCATAAGCTCCCTGAAAGAGAAGAGGAAATCCGCCCAGGGTCGACTCGACGCTTACGCATATCCTGTCTTGACTTTACCGAACGAAATCACCTCCGAAATTATCGTGCACTTCCTTCCAATCTACCCAAAGTGCCCTTCGCCAATCGGTCTGCTCTCCCCGTACTTATTGTGCCAGATCTGTGGGAAATGGAGGGACATAGTGTTTGCCACTCCAGCCCTTTGGCGCGCAATCTCGTTGCCCTTGCGGAATTCGGGGAGATTGACACAGGCTCTCCATCTCCTGGAAGCTTCGTTGAAGCATTCCGGTTCATGCCTTCTCTCAATCGAGCTGACAAGCGACTCGGTGGAGGGCTCAGAGCTAGCCCAATTTGGTCAAACAATTGCAGAGCACTGTGCCCGTTTGGAGCATCTGGCACTGAACATCTTTCAGCCCCTGGATGCTCTCCCGACTGACGACCTTCTTCTGCCTTATCTTCGCACCTTGAAGCTTGGGTCGGGTTATGTGGGCTTGACGACCGCCACCGCGACTTTCCTTGCGGCACCGCTCTTGCAAAAGGTGTCCATTCATATGTATTGAGATGCCCATCGTTCCATTTTCCCGTGGTCCCAACTCACCGTCCTGTCCGTGCATCGGCTCACGCTGGATCAGGGTGCTTACATTCTAACTCAGCTGGTCGACATTGTGTACCTTTACTGCGATTTTATCAACGAATCAATGGAGACCTTCGATGCTAGGTGAAAGCATAGTCCATATCCAGACACCCTTTCTAACCCGGACCTTTTCAGCTGGAGTGGTGTAACACTGTCGCACCTGGAAACCCTCATTTTTATGATCTATCGGGCTCCCTTCCCCCGGGAGAGTATGGTCCGTGCATTGACCCTTCCGGCCCTTCGACGGCTCCAGGTCTCGCACTGTCTCCTTGGTCCCGTCGCCATTCAATCGCTCGTATCAAGATCAGGGTGCAGCTTGGAGGAGTTGTGTATTCCCAACGCCGACCCCGCATCTCATCTCGACTACCGCGCCGCTCTTCCCTCAGTCGCGACATTGAATTTCGATGTCAATGGAAAACTGGCTACCACCGAGCCGTTCCTCGAGGAGTCGCAAACGGATGATGAATCCGATACAGATTCGTCGGCGGATGGGTATTCAAACCCTGGATTCCTGGCCGCCAACTCGGACAGCGATAGTTAAAGTTTTATATAGTATTGTTCGGACGTATTTAATGCCGCAGGCCGCACAACTGCGTTCCTCGCATAGCTTGGCCCACTCAAGCATGTCCGAGCGGCGAAGATACTTTTTGTACTAGTATCTGCGAGCGAACATGCTAGAATATGGTAGCACCTTACATTAATCATAGTGTTTGACCAGCGCTCCATTGATCACCTCCTCCTCCATATTGCCCTCGGACGCCTTCAGCTTCGGCCCATAAGTATGCGCTGGTTCTTCTTTTTCGCCATTCCTAGTATCCTCATTTAGACGCCATTCATAATCGCCATCATACATTTTGACAACCATCTGCTGCGGCCCAGTCGGCGTAGTGCCTTAACTTCTGCGCTGCTGCAGCCTTACTACACCATGCATCTCCCACTTTGCGCCCTCCTTCTAGGGACTGTTCCCTTCGCCGCATCCACTTTCCAGTCACAGCAGCCATTCACGGTGTCTGGCGACTCGGCGCGCGGAAAGATACTCCACAAGAAGCTTGACGCGGCCATCGACGCGATATTGAAGGATTTCAACTCCCCTGGCGGCGTTGGGGTCGCTGTCGTGCAGAAGAACCCAGATTCCGGCGGATGGACCGTCGAAACCAAAGGGTACGGCTTCGCGAAAGTGGATGGCACTAAAGTTACCTCGGATACCATGTTCGCTATCGGGTCGAATTCAAAGGCAAGTTGCACGATTTGGCCACCGGTTCAGTCTTTGCTGACGGCGGAAACCAGCTGTTCGATATACTGGCAACCGGACTCCTGATTTCGAACGAGACGCTGTCTCCTCGAATTTCTTGGGAGACGAAAATCGCGTCTTTTGTGCCGGAATGGCAACTAATGGACCCCGTCGCGTCGTCTCAGAGCACCATCATGGATGTGATGAGCCATCGCACTGGTCTACCGCGGCATGACTTTATTTTCACGCCGGACTTTCCGTCTGAGAATGTGAGCTCATCGTCTTATATCGATTCCTCTCCTGAATGGCCTCAGATTCGCCGCCTACGATACCTCAAACCCTCGACCGGGTTCCGCGAACAATGGCAGTATAACAACCATATGTACACCCTCATTTCGTACTTCCCGCAGTTGCTCGCCGGAGTCCCGTTCGAAACATATGTGAACGACTTTATCCTACGACCACTTGGCATGAACTCCACCACGTATTACTCCAAGAAAGCGGACGAGAACGGGCATCTCGCGGATGGTATGGGGAGGGACGGCGTCAACCAGACCGAGGATGTCTTCGGGTTGGGGCAAGTTCGGGCATATCCGTTCTGGGCTCCCAACGAGGGAGTCCCTCGACACGGTAGTTATGATGCAGTA